CTATAATAGAACTAACACTTACAGTTAGGGCTAACCATTAAACTGCTATGCTCTTGTAGAGTTTACCTTGAGGATAAATTAGTCCTAAAGTTGAGAATGATGATCTGGTACATCTAAGATGACCAGGAATATTAATACAGGTTACAGGTTCAGAGAGTTTAAAGTAGAACATCCAAGCAGAAATGTTAGGTATAGCAATTGGTAAGAAACCTTAGGGTGGACTCCTTAAATAGGTAATATAGAAAAGTTACACATGTAGCCAATTGTATGCTTTCTTGTAGTGGTTCATTAAACTACAATACCAATAAGTCATTAATAAAAGTCAAAAGACCAAAGAGGTCACCTTAATACCAAAAAAAAAAATATTTTCTTTAAATAGTACTTTTATACTTCAGACATTTTAATTTGCATTAGTTTGGTATATATTAAGATTATTTTATTGCCTATTTAATCTTTGTAAATTGAGCTTATTATAATGCTTGCCTTTCAAACAATGCCTTCTGAATCATTTAATCTGCATTAGTTTAGTAGGTCTAGATTTAATTTATTATCTATACTTATAGTCTTTAAAATTTATGATTCAAATTTAAGCTCTTACCTTAATAGTATTTGTTATGCTACTCAATTTATATTAATTATATAAATATAAATATAAATATTAATTATTATTATATTCAAAACTTATAATAATCCAAGTTTATATATTTTACTTTTAAACAGTATTATTTTGATCATTTAGCTCATATTAGTTTGGTAAATATAAAAATTATTTAGCAAGGTTTCAAAAAATTTAAAAAATCTTATTATATAATATGCACAATTTTTTGCAAATTTTTAAATCCTAATTATTTTATTAGTGGTTCAATTTTAGTTTATTTAGTATTTATATTAAATAGTTGTTTTCAGATCCTTTATTTAATTCATATATATTTGTGAATATCTTTTGTTTTATACTAAATTTTAATTCATAGACTGTTTAAAGTTAAGTATAAATATTATTTATAATTTTATTTTAAATTTTCTATCAATCAAGTTGAATATTTATTATCCAATAATAGTCTAACTAGATAGTTAATTTGAGCAGAAAATAAATCTCAAATTGCATTTTTTGATTATTAATTTATTTAATAGATAAACAAATAAATAAAAAAACAATTCGATCTATAATTTAATATTATATTGTATGACTTAATCTTTGGAAATTCACATTTAGACTAAATTTTCATGATTTTAAACTGTATTATAAAAACTAAGTTTTCAAGTTTTTAATATAGCACTAATGCTAATTCTTCTTAGCACTTAGAGTGAATAATGATTACATATATATTTATAGTAGAAGTAAGCTTTTATATAATAAATATAATTTTTTAACCTTATAGCTTAAATATTTATTCCTAAGGAATCTAATTAACAATATAGTAAGACACTTTGACTATTACAAGGCTTTTTTTTTGCCTTTATTCTGGGGTGTTTTATCTTGTTTCATTAATATTTCAATTTTTAACTTATAAAATTATATTAAAAACAAATATAAAATCTAAGTATTTTAGTTCTAATAATTAAGCATCTAAATTATTATATGAATATACTCTGTAGTCAAATTAGGTTTACTTTAAGATTAACTATAAACTTAGCAATTATATAACTATATAACAACTAAACAACTAAATGATTAACTTGGTCACATGATATCTATAATCAATTAGTTGCAACTATAGTTAATAACTAATCAATTGACAAAATTTTAACCAACTTGGAACACTATTTTAGGCAGACTTTTTAAATAGATAATATAGAAAAATTATATGTAAAGTTAGTTGTATGCTTGTTATGATGCTTGACAAAAATATTAATAAAGTAAAAAGACCAAAAAGATCATCTTAAATACTAAAAAAAATAAAAATTAAGTTGGTGTATCATGCTTAATAAGACAAACAATAATTTATTATTATATAGATATAAGTTTCAAATTTCATCTTAATTAGAATTTAAATATTAAATCTGTTACTTGGAAGATGACAACTTATCAACTACTTCAAGTTACTGTAAAGAGTTAATATATTTTGAAAATTAAGAGTTATATACAGTAATAAATAATAAAACATATCCAATATTTATTAATAAAATTTTAAAATATTATAATTTTTTTAAAACAAACTAAATTAGAATTCCTTTTAACAAATTGATAAATTTTAGATAAACCATATTTTTGTTAGAGTATTTTTTTTTATTCTTTGTTTTAAAAAAATTATAAAATATTATATGAGTTCAAGAAATTAATGTTTAATATAAAAAAAAAATCATATATATATATTTTTAACCAATCAAAATCAATAACATAACAATTAACTAATCAGAATTAATTATATAAGTACCAAAAATTGACACCTATATGTATGTTCCGTACTATATAAATTTATAAATTATATATATATAATTTTAATTTTCAAAACATAACTCTTTACAGTGATGAGATTTTGGAATGATATTTGGTATATATGTAGAACGGATCTAGCTATAAAGTTACTGGTCAGATTTTTTAAAATCTTTTAGATAAAAACTTATAGCTATTTAAAAAATTGAAATATTTTGAATAACTGTTGAGTATAGACTTCTAGCATAAATCGCAAATTATATTGTATAATCATTACTTTTAAATATTTGAATCAGAAAAATCTGTATTGGGTCTAGAAAAAACACAGTATACATTTAATGATAAACATTTCAAAAAAAAAAAAGAATTCCAATGTACGGTAATTTACATTTACAATAAAAAGACCTGGGGATTTTAAATTTCTACTAAATGTAATAAATGTTAACTTTCTATTCATTCTATTCGTCTCTTTCTGTCTCCCAATCACCAAAACTATCTTTACGAGCTAACAAACGTTTGAACCACTGAAAGCTTAAGAAAGCCTGAAGGAACCGCCAATATGCTTTACAAGCTTCTATTGAAGTGCCAAATACGATAAAGATTATTATACCTAATAATGAAATTACATATTCTAAATACGTAGGATTGACAAGGTCATATTCTGCATCCCGGATGCTAATATACAAATTTCGGCCATAACTCAAAATAGTAATAGCACAGTACAAAAGAGCAAAAAGGATCAAACGTAAGAGTACATAAATCGGTATCGATGATGTAGTGGAAGTCACCACACTATCAGGATTATTTGGAAACCGATTTGACGTAGCTACGCTTGTTGGAGAATTTAGATCGAGATCAAATTCTTGAGTCCCAGCATTTAATTGATGTTGGGGAGTTTTAGCGGATTCTCTATGAGCATATGAAAGCGCGATAACCTCAATTACGGTTCTCACTTTTACCATGGAAATAAATGTCTGTGATTTAAGAGAAAACTCAGATCAAATTTTATTATTAGATCAATCAAAAGAACTTACTTGAAAAATAAATTCCGAAAAGACTCGTTAAAGTATTCCAACCATCAACGCTGACCAATGCCAAAGGTATTGATGGTTTGTAAAACATGCAAAAAAATGGACCTGGTGACTTAATTTATCAAATAACAAATAGACATCAATTAGAAGGTATAAAATACGTAAACACATGAAATTAATGTAAATAACTCACAATTCCATCAGGTCTTTCAGCAATCAAAAATGGAGGAATGACACCCACCAACAAGGGAAAAATAATACATATAGCAATGTAATATTTCCTTCGTTTCCATTCACCATCTGTCAGATTACATACTATACGTCTATAAATTTCGAAGGAGTAAATCAGTACTGAAAGACCAGCAGCAATGCCTGATGCATTTATCCATAGAGCCTGAATCCAGCAGAATGCGGAGGGAGCGCGACGTAAATTTGCACCGAATATCCAAGCACCAAGAACATGAGGTATATAAAAAATAACCATTGATATGCAAAAATAAGCAAAAATTCTGTTGTATTCGAGACGGCCGTAGATTATAGAGAGAGTGATCATTAAGAAGAGGGAAAATGTACATAGAATACCATACGCTAATCCACCTCCAGTAATATATGGAGTTTGATCGTATGGTTTAGAGTCTCTCTTATACATTATTAACTTAGAAAAAAAGTCATGTCCCATTATTCGATTTTTATGTTATCTAAATTAAATTTATTTTGTAAAAGTACAAATTATTATCTATAAACGCTATTGATATAAACAAGCTACTACATTAAAAAAACTCGATTAAGAAGGTCATAAGCGAATTTTGATAAATTCTTATATTTAAAAAACGTATAAATGGTCATCGATTCATAAAAGATTAAGTATCGAAACATAACTTATTTGCTGTATAAGAAATTTTCTAGACATTGTTTTACGTACGATCTTGTCATACGTACGTACCATAAAAATAAGCAAATTGGTCAAGTGTGTCGTAATTATGCACTGACTATATAATTTGGCTGTTTATTCACTTTTGGGATACCGATACCTCAACAAAAAAAAAAAAATAAAAAAAAATATATTTGGTGGATGGCGTGATACTTTATAATGACTTGTTAGTAATAACGATATTATAATTCGGTTTATACAAATAAAAAGATGCCCGAAAGTGAAGCCCAAGCATTGTCTAAACAAGAAAGAAGCAGATGGCAAATTACTTTGCTCAATTAAATCAAGTTATTTTAATAAACGGGAATCTCAGTCAGATCATAGAGATGAGCCCAGAAAGCCAAAAATTTTACACATAACGATAATGTGAAAGACGATCATATTAGCATTTATCGTTATGATTTGCACTGCGATAATGGAAATTCTTGTAGTACACAAAATTTCCAAATTTGAAAATTTAATTCGTAACAGTAAATAATACGTACCCTAGCCATTGCGAAACAAAGTGACGGGATTTACTTATTTGTGCCAGTGATACGAGCTAAGAAAGAAATATAATGAGATCTAGGGATAGTTATTAAAGAAAGAACACTTTGTATATGCAAAGTCACATTTCATTTTGAATTGCATTCTCTTTAATATTTTTCCGTTAGTATCTACCTTGCTGTTCTTCAGGTATCATTGAAGCTGATCTTTTCTCCTAACATTATTTTTTTTGCAACCTTTTGTTCAGACATGTAAATTTTTTTTTGGTATTTTATTGATTTTATTTATCGTTATTTTATCTTTTTTTTAAATTTTTTTTTAATGATCGGATTAAAATTTCTGTAGGGTATAATGGTAGACCAAAATCAAGATTCATTGTCATTGCAGACGTCGCCCTATAAAAAACTTTTTTTTTAAATGCACTTTTTTTTTTTTTACTTGATATTAGCCATCAGAGTGCTGTATAAATACCGTCCACGTAGCTGATCTTGTTTGTTATGTTAGGGTTGTTCGCAGAATCATGCATGGCTATTGAAATGTGTCCTATATACTTTATGCCTGAGTGCAAAACTGACGGCTATCACCGCACATCGAAAGCTGGTCGAAACAAGTTCCTGTGGCATTTTGCTGATCTCATTCAATCTTAAAGTATACTATTACACTTAATCATTTTTCATATATATCTTTTGTAGATAGAAAGAATAGAGAATATCATACTTAGGAAGGAAAACAATTAAATGGCGTTAATATTCTTAGAAATAGTTGAATTAGAATTGAAGGTTATTTATCTAAGCATACTCAACAGGTTTAACCACAGCGTCTACTCTTCAAAATACCGTTCTATTAATTCCACATAGAACAGTTCAACCCTTCTTCCTAATGTGACACTCTACTCTCTATTTAAATTTTTTTAAAACTTTCATATGAAGTTTGTCCGCTTCCATGATGTTGATCTATAATAAGCTTCGGTCACATAATTCATGTTATGCATCATCTAATTTATTATCATTATTAGCATTAGTGAAGCTTTACTACTACTCTTTATTAATTATTATAAATAATAATTATATCCTATTTTAAGTCATCACCTTTGATAGAGACATATCAAGGCCTTTTGCCTATATATATTATCTATCCCATTAATTTACCTGAACGAAATAATAGATATTATCTTAATGATTTGACTCTAACATTAAGCAATGCACAAAATGTAAGCATTAGCATGAGCTTAGTGTTATTAAAATCGCAGTATGTGCATAAAGTTCTAGTTCAAATATTACAGTAACGTCATAATCTTATTCGTATTTAGAACTTGTATATATTACAAGTATTAGCGATAAATAATAAAATATTTATACGAATTGGCAAACTTTTTTTCTAGTTTGTCTGACTTTCGTTAATTAGTTGCGATTAAACTTTTTGATTAATCGATTTTCAAGAAGACAGATGTTAATTCGGCCCAATATACCACGTTTCTGATGAATTCCGACCCATAATTATTGAATCTTTCCACATGAAGTTCTTTATAATTTGCTTAGGGCTATTACTTTATATAGTGTATCTCCACACAAGTACCTCGGGTATCAAATATTATGGAAATATGTGGTTACTCGCATCCAACTTTTACGGTAGTTATTCGCTACTCCACCTTATCATTGGTAACCATGCCGAATTAGCCAGGGCGGTCCCCCAAAGTACTGTCACATGATGATCGCCATAGCCATAGCCGCAGCAAAATCGTCTCCACCAATCAGGTAACGCTATATATATATAAGCGATTTACAGTGCCGATAATCAGTTTTTAACAGTTAGTTTTTCGTTGAAAACGATCTGATTTATAAGAAAGCTTCTTACGAATAATTTTTATTAACATTTAATCTCAAACACTCTATTGCTGTATTGCCGAGGCTTTATAAGATTATATTTATTATTTTTTTAATTTAGTTAATAATTTAATTTTACTTTTTGAATTTATAAATATAGTATTATATTACAAAAATTTTTTAAAAAGATATTACTTCTATGGCAGAAATATTGCTAATTTGAATCGATCATGTAGAACCTTAAGCTTTAAAAGATGAAAGCTTTTAGTCATTTTACTTTATACAATCTTACTCTTCTTCATTATGATCTATATCATTTATGTTCATTTTTGACTTTTTAAGTATATAAGGTTATGATTTCTTGCTATTTTCTGGCTTCTAAGTTGCTTGTCTATGTTTTTATTATTCTACAACTTGAATGTTTTTGTAAACAAGTTTCAATTTGATTTGACATAAGCATAAGTCTTTTCACTTGAATTCTCATCAACATTAATGTTATAACTATCTAGTGAACTATTAGCAGTAACTTCAATATTATAGTTTTCAGTAACTTGTGCAATAGCTTGAGTATCTGGTAATATTGTATTATTATTTTTAGGATCATTTAGAATAAGAAACAAAGGTATTATGTAATGTTTAAATCCACTTCTTGATCAAATGTTATCTTTTTCTATCAGGTGTATTTATAATTAATTTTACCAAATGTTTATATAAAAGAAATCAATTTTTATAAAACACTAGACAGTTACAAATTCATTAAATAATTTTAATAAAATAAGAACCTTCTGAACTTTTTATTCTTATGTCAATACTTTGCTTTCTTTTAATAAACCTTTTGGTATATATCTTTGTTTATTTTCATTACTTGTATTAGTATAAACTTATTCTTTCTTGAAGTCCTCCTACTAACTGAATTCTATTGCATTAGTTGAAATTTATGAAAATCAGTTTTTTTGTACTGGCATCACCTTAGTGAAAAGTGTTTACAATAGAATATCTAAGCTAGGTTAGTTAAAATAATACAAATAATGTTACTTGATTACATTCCAATGCATCTCTATTTTCATTATTGTTTTATTTTATTTAAATTATTTGAATTATTTGTAAATTAAATAAAAAATTAATTATTTAATTAAATAATAAAATTAACTTACTATAAAGTATATTAGTTTAGTTAATCATGACCAAAGATATCATTATTCTATTGAGTACCAACTGGTTTACAAATAAGATCAGAATAATTATAATTTATGTTCAGTACAGAATTGATACATCTTTTTTATTGCTCTTTGCCTAATAGCTTTTGACATCATTGTGTTTCTCTGATATAGTTATGTGTTGGTTAGTTTGATTTAAAAAATTAATTATAATTTTTTTATATTATTTTAGTATTGAATTAATTAAATCATTTTTACTTTTTATATTACCAATACTTGTAATTATAAAATAATATATAATATTCTTATATAACCTTATAGTAAAGGTAAAAAAAAATAAAAAAAATATAATAATTATACAAAATTATATCTATTCATATTTGGGCATTTACTAGTATTAACAGATGCATGTTAAAGTGATTTTGTATTAGTTCTAAAATTACTTTTCTATATATAAGTAAACAGATAATATATATTTGTAAATTATAATTAGCTTCTAAAAAATAAAAAGTAGGATCAATAAAATCAAACTTACTAGTCAGTTGATTTGAATTGTAATTTATAGTTATTAATTTACTATTTCTTGAAGATTTTGTCTTTTTTTTAAGTTTATGTTTTATTATTTAGTTTATATATTAGAAATATAATTACATTACTAATACATTTTACACTTTAAATATAACATTAATTTCTACAAAATTTTTATCAATAAATATAAATTTTGAATTTATATTATATAACTTAATAACTTCTAGAAACCTTTCTAATATATTAGTATGTTTTTTACATATATTTCTTGTCTATATTGTATCTATTATAAGATAGATAATAGAAAATCCAGTTTTTTCAACATTAGTAACAATACAATAAAGTTTATATTATACACATGTTGTTTTGTAAGTAGTGTTTATATAAATCTCTATAATATTAATACTAAGATTATTAATTTTTTTTAGTAGAAAGGTAACAAGAAATATAGACTCTTTCTCTTAAATTTCTAAGTATTTATAGAAATCCTAACTTCTGTACTCTTCAAGTAATTTTAAACTAGATTTGAATAAGTTAGTATGATACTAATATATGTTTTTTTTTGTTATAAATTTTAGTAATATATATGTTTGCATGAGTACTTTGAAATATTAAATTCTTTGTATTACAAAAATTTATTAATTCAATTATACTGAGATGAGCAAATAATTTAATTTTTTTAATAGCTTATTTGACATTATAATGCAGAGACTTGGGTATAAATGAAGATATTTACAACAAATATTCATCTTCACAATACCAAGAATCATATCTATATATATTATAACTTTGTTTTTACAGTTATAATATGTATATATTTTGTAGTTGGAATCTTTATATTTCTTACTTTGTGTTTCTTTTGGTTGGCAATACAAATATGTAAATCTACTAACTGATTCTTCAAAGTTTTTTAATACATTTACTTCTTAATATCTGTAATGATAGATAATAGATGAAGAAAGTAGAGAGAAAGATGGTGATATGTTTTAAGTTGTATTAGACTAAAGGTTGGATTTAAATTTCTGAATATTAAGTTTTATATTGAAATTTAAATCTAAATTTAAATTTCAATATAAAAATTTAAATTTTAGAAATTTGAATTAAATCTTTAATATTAATAAATTAATTTATATTTATAAATAATTATTTCTTTCTTTAATTTTATTAATAATAAGATAAATAATTTTTTTTGCTATTATGCTTTGTATATTTATATTTATTTTACTAACAACTTTATTTAATAATCTATGTTAGTTATTATATTAGTGCCTACACTTTCTGTTAGTTTTTAAATCTTATTTGTAATGAAGTCTTTTATTTTAAGACAATTGATTTCAATATACTCAGTATTTGTCTCTTGTTTACTAATAATTTCTAACTAATCAATTAATTTAACATTAATAGAATTTATAAATCTTATTAGAAGATCTTGGTTATTATTTTTTTTCTTCTATTATAAGTTACTTTATATATATAGTATATTTTGTGTCAAGTATCCTTTCAAATAAATTGGTCTCTTGTGCATTTAGCATTGCATTCATTGTAATATAAAGTTTCTATTCTTAAATACAAGCTGATTTATAAATTAGAATATTATGGTATAATCTTGTTAGAAATTTTAAGACTCTGAGATTTGAGTATTACTTAATATCTATAATAAGAGATAGTAATTATATTTATATAAAATAATTAAAATAAGTCAATATGTACAAAATTAAATAGTAATTATATCATAATTTATAAATTAATTCAGAACATAAAAGAAGTTTACTGTATATATATTTATAAAAAAGATAAAACATAAAATTGTTTTAGAAATAGTTGATATTTATAAAAGAAGATTTCATTATTAGAGAAATTAAGATCAATTGTTTTTATTAAACATTTTAATTTTTTATTTACAATATTTTTATTTCAATATAATCAAAACAGTCTAGATTATGATTTTTAATTAATGATATTTAGCATTAATATTATTTATGCTTTATTATAATTATTATAAATTATATTCAAAATCAAGACTAAAATAATTTTTTAAAATAATAGCTATTCAAAAAAGTCTAATAAAACTTCTTAGAGTATTTTTAATATAAGAAAATAATTATTAACTAAACTAATAATTAGAATCATTGATAATTTCAGTTTGGTTGATGAAAATATTAAATTAATCAATTTTTATTTTTTATTTTTAATTCTAGCAAAATATGAATAGGTTTTTGTATATATATATTAATAACTAATAATCTTAAAATTATAAATAATAAAGAATAACATGCATTTTAATATTTATAAATAATTTATATGTATAATGTATTAGTATAGAAAACAAAACAGATTATAAGTTTAGCATAAATTGTGAGTTTAGCATAAATTGTAAATTTAGCATAAATTGTTAGTATAAAAGTGAATAGTTGAAAAAATAATCAATGATATATATAATTCTTTATATAAAAGATAATTATAAAAATAATAAAAGAAATAAAAAAGAAAAATTGATAATAAATATTAATAACAAATAAATAGATAAAAAAATAATTGATAATATATATAATTCTTTATATAAATTAATAAAAATAATAAAAAAAATAAAAATAATGTGACAATAATATAATAATGAGTTATTAATAATTAAATACTTCTTATTTCATAAAAAATAATATAATTTATTAATATAAGAAATTAATTAAACAAATAATACATTTTATTTAATAAAAAAAATAATAATATACTCTATCTAATTAAGAAAAATAATTAATAATACATTTGGTATATTTATCATGAATAATGTTAAAATATAAAAATATTTGCCAGAAATATTTCTCTTATTTATATAGTAAATTTAATATATCTAACTCAAAAATTTAAAGTTTGCAATATTAGAATTCTTATAATATATATGTTTATATTGTAAATCACTTTAATACCAGTCTAGACTGCTAAATTAATATTTTTTGAAAAAGTTTTGACTATAAGATAGTAGTTATCTGATTATCAAACCAAAATTTTTAAAATGCTTTATATTATAAACTTATTATTAATATAAAAAGGTTATTTGAATTATTTGAATTAAATAAAAAACTGTACTTTTAATAGCCTTACTAATAAGTACTAGTTATTAACAAACTTCAAAAATGTTTGATATATCTTTTTTATAGTCTTAAAGTTTTTTAAAATTATTATTTAAATATTTTTTATATCTATTATTATGAATCTTTGTCATCAATACTAATGATTTATTTAAAATTAAAATTTAGATTAGTGATAATCTAGTTTTTTTTACTTTATAAAATACAGAAATTCTTATTAAATACTTTTACCAAAATTTAAAAATCTATTGAAAATACAAATAAATAGAATTATTATTCTTTTTTTTTTAGTAGTGTGTATGAAAATAGCTCAGTTTAATAATATAGTATTTTTAGTATTATTTTATCTTATAATAATAGAACCTTTAATGCTCAACTTTTTAACAATTAAAAATTAATCCTTTTTTAAAAAAAGACTAGTAAAAACACTTTTAGTAGATAATTTTAGAGCATTATCAAGATTGCAAATTGCTTATATATATAGCATTATCTGATTGATAGAGTTATTTTGTTGTGATTGCAGCTATAGGTGATTATCATATATTAGTACTTTAAATGACTATTTTGGCTAATTCAATCATATGTAATTATTTATTTTATTAATTCATCTACAAAATTCCTGTTTTATCATTAATTGTTATACAACTAATATAATAATGATAATTATAAGTTGATTAACTATATATAGTAGTCAATAAAAGTAATATTTAATTCATATATAAGCAAATAAAAAGGCTATGCATACCTCATTTTTATGTATTTTAGAACAATTTTTTTTATTTTTTGTTTCTTTGATATTGAAGAAACCAAGTATATGCAAAAAAATTTTTTTAATCAAATAATATACAAACAAATAATAGAAAAAGAGAATGAAATAATCATTATTTATATTAATACAATGAGTGTTGAACAAATTGTCTATAAGATTAAATGTATTCTAATAATAGTCTAAAGGTTTTTATAAAAATATAGAAAACCCAAAAAAATTAAGAACTTATCTTAATCTGGATATCTCTCATCCTGAAGAAGCAAGAAAAGACTATCATAATAAAAAAAGCATTGAATAAAAGATGTGTACCACTATTCAAAATTGTAAATAATTTAAATCTTTAATGCAGTGTGTAGACTGTAACTAAAATCTTACATAACATTGAATTTCATTTTTGTATTGTTATCTTGAAACTTTTTTGTTAAATAGTAATATAGAAGAATATATAGAATAATATAATCAAAATAAAAATAAGAATACTTATTATTGAAGACATATTATTTTTTCAGATAAAATGAATATAGAAATAAATAAACAATCTTGTCAAGTTTGTGTATAACATTATACAAATAAGAGATACAAACATGAGTGTTCGTATCCAAATTTTAGAAGTGAAAGGGTCTTGATAATGGTTTAATCATGTTTTATTGATAACATAAAAGTTCCATGATATTTTTTAATGATTATAAAGATCCTAAACAAAAAATTAATAAAAACATTTATATCAAGATATTAAATGATCATCTTATACTGTTTTTAGTTACAGTCTGTTTGTTAAACATCTCTCATCTGATTTTTCAGCATGACAATGTTCCAATTCATAAGGTGTCAGATTGGTTAAATTTGAAAAACATTAATTATATGAATTGGCCCTCATGATCCCTGACCTTAACCCCATAAAAAATATTTGGAAGATCGTGAAGGACAATATTCAGAACCGTGATGACTTCCCAAGGAATAAATCTGACCTTAAAACGACCTTACAGGAAGCATGGTCAAGTTTGGATACGTCGGTTCTTCGTGTCATTGCAGACTCAATGACACAAAGAATCGACGCTATCACAAGTGTAGGAGGTCGCTCAGTGAAGTATTAAATAAATATAAAAAAAAGATTTGATGTATTTGCGGCCAAGATTAAATAAATAAAAATTTTATTTTTTGATCAAAAATCGGCGTTACTTTTGTTGGCTACTGTACATACAAAGTAAGTGCTTTAATCCGGAATTATGATTCAAATTCTTCCTAATGAATTGCAAATCCAAATTTTAGCATATGTTGTTGATGAAATAAAGTGAGCTTATATTATACAGTATATAATAATTTTCATTAAATTTTATTTATTAATTTAATAATATTGATAAATAATAGTTTTCAAATTTTTGCACTCTACGAACTGTTTGCAAAAAGTGGAACACATTTGTCCCTTTAGTAATGCGTGGAGCCGTTATTTCTAGGCAAATAAAAAAAAATTTTTAAGATAAATTCATGAATATAGTAAAATTCAAGAAATAAATCATTACCTTTAATTATTGTAGTTAAATTACTGGAATAAGGCTGAATGGACTAAAAAATTACCACCAACTTACGACGATTATACTAAGACATTTACTTTTGTAGTTGATAATATTAACAACATTTATAATACGTATGATGACATTAAACAAATTCTCAGTGATAATAACGTTAGTTTTAAGGCATCGGTTGAAAGGAGCGACAATGTACCAAATCCGATTAAGCTTGGAACTAAATTAGGTGATTTAACTTTGCAAGAATTTTTAAATAACGGTGTATGTAAACATGAGTTCGATCAACGAAATAACGTATATTTCAAATGAGAGATCAAATTTGATGGAGAAGGCAAGAGTGTTTATTGCTTGAGGTCTCATAGTTTTACCATTGAAGCATGGAAGCTTTGTTATATTTTAGACTGTCTTAAATTTGATACGTGAGTTATTTAAATGCATATACATGAGTTTGTTACGCTTTGGTTGCTAATATTTCGATTGGTGGGGTATACTTATTTCATTAATCTGATGTGAAATGGCATACGTTATTGCAAAGAATTCGAGTGCTATAGTATATTTATTATTATATACATCACAAAAAGGGCTCACCATAGCTGATAAAATTTCTTAATATATAGACATATTGGAACCATGTATCCATGTATAAAAATAATAAAAAACTTATATTTAGTGTGATGTGTTGCATTTATAATAAATAATTAACTAGTCCTTTCAAAATCGACATTTGAGAAATAATGCTGTAGAATTTTAGACACCAAAATTGTATAGGTCTTACCAAGAAAGTCCAAATCACCGACAGGACATTTCGCTACGTATGTACGTATGTCATTATGGTAAAAATATTTGCCCGGAGCGAAGCGAAGAACATCTAATGGCGATACAAAGTTACCGGTATATGTTTGATGCATCATTGTTTTTAATTGTCTCATCAAAAACGTAATTTTTAAAAAAAATTCATGTCTGTCCGCTCGCGTGTGATGGCCAATAAAATTGCTAGTGTTGGTCAATGATATAAGTCATAGCATTTCGTTATGACCAAATGACCTGACAGTTCAAAGGTCAACACTGCTATAAGGATTATCCGTTATGGCCAATTAATGCAATGCATAGTATCAGTATTAGCACACATTTGATATCAAGCGTGGTTTAGTGAACTATGACTTAACGATCTTGATTGCTCTATTTGGCAGTTCATTCCTTTATTTATAATGAAACAGAGACTTTGAAACGTAATCCGAAAATAGTTAAGCCTATATATAGCGCATCGACTAAAAAAAAACCCCCCGGGATCTAATAAAAACCTAAATATTCATCCGGAGATGGACATTGTATAAAGGACATGCATTATATGGAATGTCCTGTATTAAAAGGCCCATTTTTACAAACATTTTCGAGTAGACACGTTTAAATGATCTACAGATATAGTAATCCTGGCACATTTTATGGATTTTATTGTCTTGTGACTTAGCGATTCTTTTTAAAAAATTTATTACTGTTAAAAATTTATTACTGAAGCTATAAATTAGGATCTATTTAAAATATGAACCCTACTAAAATCTACTACTTATGACCTTTTAATTATAAGTTCTAGCCTAAATCCTAAAAAATCGAATTCATATTAAAATAAGTAATTTTTAACTTTGACAAAAATTTATGAAGAATTGTCCTTTTAATATATGTAATATAGAAATAAATATGTAGTAATCTGAATAAAATTTTAACTTATTTGCATCTTTTATTTAAAGTTCAATTGTTGTCAAGGGTATTTTTCTTTGTTCATATCTATTTTAAATAACTAAGATCAAAATTTTAAGACTATGGATCGGTAAATGGTTTAATATAGTCTTTCCAATAACTTGGTACTCCAATACAATCTGGTGCAGCTCTAACGGTATTAAAATATTCTAAATTGAAAATATACATATATGAGCAAAATAAATAGGTAAAGAATATATGGGAACACCCACAGCAAAAGGGGGGATAGAACTATATAATATATAGTCCCATCCCCCCTTTTGCTGTAGGTGTTCCCATATACAACCAAGCCTCTTTAAACGCGTTTATAAACAAGAAAATTTGAATCTATGAAAGTTAAGCATATATTTGAGTTTTAGCTTGCATCACGGAGGTCGCATTCAGAGAGGTTTGATTGTATTTATTATCAAAATTTCTCGTCATCGGAGCGCGATCAAACAATCAAGTCGTGTAACGAAAGATTCAAAGTAAGAACGCGCTAAAGTTTACTACTGAATAATAGAGTTAGACGAAATATTGATATAGAACTTCGCGTCTTTGACGTTACACGTGATATTTAGATATAACTGTTTGATAGCACTCTGGTGACTGTCACCACCGGTGACAAATCTAAAGATATACCTTTATAAACATCGCCATCAAATTTTCCCAAAGGTGCTTGCAAAATAAAATCTGGATATCCCCATGCATCGACCAGAGGTATAATTTCTTTTCTTAACTCTTTACACATTACAAAGTAAGCATTTCTTACAATAATAGCTTGTTCTTTTCCAAAGTAACCCTCTTCTAAAAATTCATTTAATGACTCATATATTAAATGAATTGACCATAATTGTCCTAATTTTGTAAGAATTGGACATAAATTTTGAAATTCTGGAATTGAATTTCGGTATTTATAAATGCCTTGAATATATTCTGAAAGACAATATCTAAATATATGAAGTTCTGAAAGACGTATCAGAGAGATTTGATTATTGTTCCACGTTATAGATGAGTCCTCCTGGGATTGCGCCAATATCGAGAAAACATATTGTAACTGAGATTTCAATTTGATATTTTATTAGAAATGTTAAATTTAATTTCATCTGAATAATATCAATACTATTATCGTTAAGAATTACCTTTTGTTTAACTAGCCAAGTATACATATCTAAATTGTATTTCATATCATATAATTGCTTTTCATTCAATAAATCGCTCTTATTAATTTTTGAAAATTGTTGAATGTTGTTAAAATAATCAACTGATCCAGAAAGTTGTTTTCCTTGGATCATTTCTTTGTATGAACTCATCAGGTATCTCTAAAAAAAAAACATCGATATTATAGCAACAATATTATAAAAGGAATCACTAATTTTATCATATTTACGGCTGTTTGTTGTAAAAGTACGGAATTGTCACCACCGCCTAAATAAAAATTCAACACCTCAGGATAAACAAATTCAAATTTTAACTTAATAAATAATAGAGATTTAAATTACCGGTAGTATTAACACCCCAATCTCCAATAGCAGGTCCAATAGCATTATAAGATGAATAAGCATGACCGCCTAGAGATCTTCTACATCTTTCAAACATTTCGCTACCCCACCATGTTATAGTTCCTTTTAGACCCGAAGATAGTGCATGTATGTCAGTAACAACTTTTAAAAATTCAGATTGATTTGTTTGTATTAGTTTTGTTGATTCTTCCCATCGAGATTTGATATTTCTATTTAAAATTTGAAAATAATAAGCTTTAATTTATTGATCAAAATATTTAATTTTTAAAGATATAAGATGGAGATTACCTATCTACAATATTAATAACATAAATGGAAGCAACACAGGGAACAAGTTTAACATAATGAGTTTGATAGTCCATAATTTGTACATTATTAACACCCTGACGTCTAACACATCCATATCTACAAGCAATAGTCAACGCTCTTCCCAAAGCATTTTGTGTGCCAGCGAGAACTGTTAATCGTTCACCAATTAAAGTCGTATAAGCAATCGCAGGATTTTGTGGTGATATATAGTTTCCATCTTCAGTTACTTTCGACCATTTCATTAACATGTTCTTCCTTGGGATACGAACATTTGAAAATTGTATCCATCCACTATCTAGGCCGTTTCGACCATATTTCGCACCAATGTCTCCAGCCGTAACTCCAGGGAGCAATTGGCCAGTTTTGCGGTCTCGCAATGGAACTATAAACCAATCAATGCCGTAACTTTTTGAATCAATTATAGTTTGACATATTGCAACAGTGTGTGTAGCTGTCTAGAAAAATCGATTTATAAGTATAGTTAAATATATAGAATCTTTTTTCTTGCAATATTAAAGTTTAAATACCTGGCCTGCCATTCCTATCCACCTAGTAAAAAAAAAGGGTTATATTTATTAAATGATATTACTAGGATTTAATTTGAAATACGTGCAATACCATTTTGTAGCCGTTAAAGTTGGAGTATTGATAATAAATTCATCACGAACTCTGTCATAAGTTGCAGTAGTTTCTAAGCCACGTATAAAAGAACTATTAAATTGTAGTAAGTTTTCATTATTGATTACTGCACAAAATTTACGTATGAAAATACAAACCTGTGACCCAATTCAGTCTAAAATAGTTGTACAAAAAAAAAATTCAATTTAATAAATTATATCTACTTTATGATAATTGTAAACATTACAAACATTACCATAGCATAGCTTCCAATAATTCTCCAATTTAGAACATCATCCATCCATTCGTCTTAAAGTCCAAAATGAGATTGTAAATATAATTTAACGTGCATGATTTTAGGAAAAAAAAAAGTACATGTACCTTGCTGTTCTTTTGTCCCAAAAAATTCAATCGATTGACGAAATAAAGTGTTGTGAACATATGTTTTCATCGAAAACGTTTCAGAATAAATGCTATAATTATTTAGCGGATTTAATTTTAATAACAGTAATAACAGTTCGAACAAAATTTGTTATGAAAATGACATAAAATAACATACCACATTGCGAGTTCTAAAGCTTTATACAATAATGGATCTTTTAAGGTTTTGCGAACTCTCTGAAATCTCAAGGCTTGTCGTTGGACACTTCACGATAATAAGGCAAAAATTATAAATTACCAATAATGATTACATAAGAATACATAAGAATACATAAGAGAAAAGAGTATGATAAATTACAGTTCACGTTGCTGAGGTTGAGTCATATCAAAACTATGCCCACCGGGGATATAAAGATCTGGGTCGCGTTGTATCATTTGGTAGGCATCAGACTATCAACAATACAGAATTCGGAAAAACAATTATAAATTATAAAATTCCAACGCTGGAAAGTTAAATAAGCACTTACTAAAGCTTTTGCGGATTCTTTCGAACCACAAAATAACCAATTCATATGTTCAACGTTAAAACTCGCATTTGACCTTTCTTTTTCTAAGTCTATTGAGCCTGTTGGTCGAGAAATATGGTCTTTAAGTAAGTTAAGGCGATTTAACACATTGTTGTTTGACATTTTAAATTTTCATATTTCGATTTCTTAGACCGAGCATGACGGTAAAAAAACTAGAAACGATCGAATCGATCGGCAAAACATTGTTGCACAATCCACCAATTTTTAGCTAACAATGGTTTAGAATTCTAGTTAATATAAAATGCAATTTTGGAAATGGGAATCTAGATCTTTGCGATCCCAACGGTTGGAAACAAAGTTCGTAATTTCAAGTTCAAATATCATTGAAATTATGAGAACAAATTATCCGCGTTTTATAAATAAAAAAAACTTCTATTAATCATGAGTGAAACACTTTCTTTTTTCCAGGGTCTGAATTTGCCCCAAAACTTTTATACCTCTTCAAGTTTTTTTGTAATAAAAAAACCTTTGCTTGAAATGTTTGTTTCTGCTAAACCGATTATATCAATTTCATCATTATGTAATGTTTAAGTTTGTTTTTCTAATAGTCGAAACTTCGGGATTCAGCTCTTATCAGAAAAGGACTGAGTCTGATAAATCATAAATAATAAACTTGAAAGCCCAAAGTCTGACTTCCCCCGGCGTCACTTTATTTGAGGACAAGATAATCAAATACAGACGGACCAGCAGGCATTAATTATAATTCTGGTCAAATTGTTTTTACAAGCCAAATCTATCATATACGTCATACATACAATATATATTAAATGGTTTTTTCAGCAAACGTTTAAAAGACATTGTTACAAGACGAACGCTTTAAAGGATATTATTCACGTAATGAACACTTTAACAAGTGTCATTTATGCAATCAATGGGGTAATGAACGTCCTGCGTCACGAATGTTGATAATATTGTTGAGTAAAACAAATAAAGTCTAAATATAGAATAAGATTTATTTTATAGTACAATAATCTATATTTAGACTTCCTGGTTTTCTCTTGGCAATACATATATTGTTGTCTAGGCATTTTTTGGGGTAGGTTAGCAAGTGAAATAAATTCATATTCAATTTATTTTTATTATACTGTAATTATTTTATGTGACGTGACGCATACATTTAATTTATTTGTTTAACGTTAAAAAAAAACGATATGATACATGAAAAACCTTCATAACAGAGTTTTAAAATCTAGTGCAACGAAGACTAAAGATAATCTAATTTAATTCCATATTTTCATCCTCGGTACCTTCGTCACCGTCATCTTCCATATCCTCAGAGTCTTCATTATCATCATCTTCGTCTTCATTATCTTCATCTTCAAAATCGTCTTCCGAATAATATTCATCAACATCGTCATCATCATCATCATCAGAATTATAGGCCGCGTAATATTGACAAGTTTGCTCATGATAATGATTACCTTTTTCACGAATATTTTCATAATCTCCAAGGCATCTATTTCAATATTTTCAATTTAAGCAAGGTTATGACAAAATGAAAAGTTTTCAAAGAACGACAAATAGTCAAATGCTTACAGCCAACAAAATTCATAACCACAACGACAACTCATATGGTCGCATCCATTATTCTTTTCAATTGACATTTTACACCTTGGGCATGGTTTAGTATGACGTTCATAATAAGCACGATTAGCAGCATAATCCTTGGTCTGCAATTGCTCAGAAAATTCATCACAGGTCAGTCCTTTGTGCCAAGGAACATCATGAGTGAAACAAGATTTTTCGCTACAGGCTTCGCAGGTAATTATTGGCAATCTATCTATATATATATATATTTTTTTTTAAGAAAAAAAAAAAAAAAGTAAATTAATCAGAATCGAAAAAGGAAATACTCGTAAAAAGCTTACCTCCAGTTGTATGCTCTTGACCGGAACCGCACTTCGGAGCCTTACACCAACGAAAATCCGGAAGTTTACGGATTGCAGCTCGCAAAAGAAGATTATCGTACCTTATTATTTTTGACGATATATGTATTTAATAACTTGCGTGGGTTGAAAGATTCTTTATTTAAGAAATCAAACTTATATTACCTGTCGAATAACTCTTTTGGAGCCAATCTTCTCACATCATCATAAGCTAATTCTATTGTACAGCGAGATTTAGGGCAACGTACTTGAACTTCACTTCCTTTAGTATTTAATTCCGCTTCAATATGTCGCTTGATACAAGTGGGACAAAGGTCATTGTGACCACAGACGGATGAAATTTGTTGAACTGTTGAATAATCTTCGCAGCAAACACTGCATTCTGGGTTCGTTGTCGTCATTATAGAAAGATTTGAACAGAGAAAGCAGCACAACCAATTCGGCGACGGAACAAATACAATGAGAGAGGTTTGTGCATGTTTAGTATGTGTGTGTGTATGCGTGTACAAAATCATATGATTAAGCCTCATTCATCAAAATATAAATATGGCATAATTCTGGAATAATATATATTCATTTTTAAAGGAAATCAACGGTCGAGAAGGTATTGTTTACCGGCACAAAACTTAAAATCATCTATATTAGTAAATTACCATATCAAAGGGTCTTGAGGTCGAAAATAGTTCCAACGATAATATTAACGCATAATTCATAACAGTAATGAGAAATATGTGATTACGAATTATTAGTTTCACAATGGTTTAGTTAGGCACTCATTATAGCGAATATTCTTTTTTTTTAATTTTGAAAATAGCATATACAGTAATAAAGCTTCTATTATGGTGAATTTTATCAATAAACACCCAATATAAAGATAATAAAATTTTCATTATAGCCGAAAAAGATCGTATTGAGAGACTGTATTTTTGTTGTTTCTAACTTTACATATACATTAATTTTATTATTGTTCATATTTTTTCCCATTAAAGATTAAGTTTCAAAATTATCCTGTAATTTTATAACCCTATAACAACCACATAACAACAATCGAAGACCCTATACTAGCCCACAATTCAATATTTCTAAACCGATTGAACTTAACATTGCCTTCATTTAAAGGTAAGAATGGTTCGTAAGATGAAGTAGGTTGAATAGATTGCTGGCTTGTAGGAGGTAATGCGCTACTACTAGTAGTATTAATAGCATATGTTATCTGAGGGGTATACGTTGGAACATTTACCGGAGTGCTAGTGATACTTAGAATACTGATGTCGCTAGACCTAGACCTTGTCCTAGTGGTGGTCGTCGTGTCAGAGGTAGTGGTAGTGGTTGTAGTGGTTGTCGTGGTAGTGGTGGTAGTGGTTGTAGTGGATGTGGTGGATGTGGTGGTTGTGGTAGTCGTGGTAGTAGAAGATGATGATGATTCATCTTGAGAGATTACTGGTGATAAACATATAGTGAATAATAGGAGGATTAGAAAAAAAAAGTAAAGCTTTCGACGCATTTGGTTTTTTTTTCTTTTTTTTTTTGTTTGTTTTTTTTGTATATAAGTAGATGCGTTTTTAAATATAGCTTAATCGAAAAGTAAAAGAATTTCAGATTATTTGATGATTATTTTTACTGTTATTATGTTCGCTTACTATTAATCATTACTTGAAGAAAAAAAAATCAATAAATTATCAACTCTCTTGATAGAGTTAGTGACATCTGCTTTAGAAACTTGGCATATTTATTGTTTTTTTAATGCAAGCTATAAAATTATGTGACATTGATATAAATAACTACAGTACGTTAAATATACTTATTGTACACTTGTACTGTATTCGTAACACTAGTACATAGGTGTATGTAAGTACGTATATGTAGATATGAGTTGTGTCGCAAGCTACATACAGTATTAACTAACCAAGAATATCCTTGAACTACGTATGTTTAAGTATATAGCGATAGAATTACCTAAATACACCTTAGGACTGTATTTATAGTAACTTAAAAGATTATAATTAATGTAGCGGTAGAATGATATCGATATATTTAAATTGTGATAAACAGAATTAGCTTTGTACATACAGATTGTACATATTCCTAAAATTAGTAAAAATTTAAATTTGTACTTAAATTACATATATTTTGTACACAAAACTTTTATAAGATTAAACATCACTTTGTTGTAGTGTCAAAGAAACTCATTGTCCAAGAGTTTTCATTAATATGTATCAACAATTTCATGTTCGAATATTCATGTATAATTTTATCATTCCGACTTTATGTCTTTACTTTTTTGGTATAATTTTGATCTAAACCCGGCCAAGTTTATACGAAACAGAATGGTTCAACATCACTAAAATGTTGTTTGAGACAATGTATTCAGGTAATAAAGGTTTTAAAAGGTTGCAAATTTATATGAGTAGACAACTTCACTAAAGAGTAATATCGTAATAATCTGACCTGAAATTATTAATTTCAAGCACTGCATTTTACGCTTACTAGTTTACAAGATTTGAGTCTAACGTTATAACATTCATTTGCACATATAATTTATTTTTGACAAACTGTTACATTAATAAGAAATAATTAAAGTCTAAACAATATCAAGTTAAAAAGGCATTTACTAATTTTTTCCAAGCCTCCATTGGCTATCTTAAATCACATTTCTGATTGGACATAACGATCTCTAATAACGTAATGTCAAATCTTCCGGTTTTTCATTTTTTTAGAATTTTACTAACTATAACCAGTGGTGACTAAGAAACGGTTTTCAATTCCCCAAAAGTTATTACCCACCAACACATCCCCCGACACGTAATGCCGACATGCTATTTAATTTACAGCACATTTTTTCGATAAGACATATATTTGACATTACATATTTTCGACAATCCTTTTTTTCGACAAGACATTTCTGATTTAGCTTTATGATTAGCTGGTTTAGAGTTAGTGTTGGTTAGAATTATGTCGGAGAATAATTTTCAGGCAATTGTCTTGTCTAAGAATAAGATTGTCGAAAACATGTACTGTCAAATAAATGTCTTATCGAAAGAATGTGCTGTAGATGAAGTAACATGTCGGCATTACGGTCTCGGGGGAAATTTGTTGGCGGGTAAATAACTTTCGGGAAATCGTTCCGTAACCCTAAGAAAAAGGGGTCAGGTATATTAAGTAAAAATGCTTAGAACATCCAAAACCTAACTTTTAATCTTTATATCTAATCCAAGTAAAATAAATTTAAGGTTAGGAGATTAGGTTGGCTTAAGGTTAGATTAAAAGGTTTGAATATATGGTCTAGGTGCTGCAAAAAGGGACCAATTTAACAATTTTTTTAAAAGTTATTTTTTTATATAAATCAATTTAGAATATAATTAGATTCATTTTTTATTTAAAATACAAAAGTAGTTATATTAATAAAATTTTGATATATTGCTCTTTAAAGTTTGCATATTCCTATGATTTATTATAAGGTTTATAATATAAAATTTGATGTTCTGAGAATGGTGATCCTAGTATAGTGGTTGGGTTGTCATCTTCCAAGTGGCAGGTCTAAGGTTCAAATTCCACTTATGATGAAATTTGAAAATTAACCTGTAGTATAACAAACTGTTTCCTGTTAATCAGTTGGATTGAAGCATGATCTGTAATCTTAAGTGTACCAAATCAGATCCTATCTGTCATATGATAGCTTAGGACATCTATACAAAATGTAATGTTACATGTACATAGAAAAATGTTATAACTAGTGTTGCATAAGACTTTGTTACAAATTTATGATAAGATCACTGAGTGTAGAAGATTAAAAAACTAAAAAAATAGAATTCTATTTAGAAATTTCTAAATAAAGAGGTAGCATAAACTTTTAATAATACTATCAAATTGATAGAAGCTCATGAAACTCCAATAAGAAATAGGTAAACATGTAACTGGATGATAAAATGTATAGAGAAGCACATAACCAACCAGTTCATTAGAATCATTAAAGGAAAAGAATACCAAAGATATATTGTACTGGGTCATCTGAATTAGAAATTTGAAGAATCTATTAGCTTCTGAGTTGAATAGTAGAAAGATAAAGAGAAAAAGTCAGAAAGATATGTATTGGAATTTAAGTAAACTTTACAAAGATAAAAATAGTGTAATATAGCAGTTAACCAAGTAACCTTTATGACTATAAGTATTAGGTAATTATAACATGTTATATAAAACTAGATCAGTATTTATAGAACATAAAGGCTCTAATAAGTTTTTGTTAAAAATAAAGTAATCCTAAAATAATGATAAGTATTAGGAACTTGGATAAGTATAGTCTTGAGATGTTTTTATAATACAAAATAGATTACATATACAGAGAGTTTAAATAGACAAAACCTTTAGTTGACTTGTAAATATGATATTTAGTATAAAACTTATATAGTAATATATAAGCAGACTACTTAAATTAGGTATCAAAAGTGCATGTGTATTTAGTTATAACCTCCTATATAAGAGACCTTCTAGTGGCACCTAAATTTTATAACTTGAATAAAACAGTCACAATTTAAAAATAAGAGACTTTAATATAAAATTTTTTTTTTAATTTTTCAAAGATCTTTTATTTTGTCAATTTGATTCTTTTTTGTAACATTTAGCCTATATATAAAATTTGATGCTGAAACCCTTTTTTTAAAAGTCTAAGCATAGTTTTTATAATAAAATCTTAAGTTATTAAATTATTTGTTTTTTTTCTTTTTTTTCTTTTGTTTTAGTTACACAATATCTAGTGATCTGATTGGTTTTTATACAACTAAGTGATATTATCTAGAATAAAAATTTAAAAATTAACAATAGCCTAAAAAATTTTATAAAGTTTTAAATTTTAATTTAATTTAATTAAATTATAAATATTATTTATTTTTTTTATTTTTTTTTTTGGTATTAAGATAAAAAATTTATTTATTAATTTGATGTAATTTAAATTTAATAAATAAAAAATTTTATAATAATTAATTTAAAATTTAGCTAAAAATTATTTTTTTATTTTAACAAGCTAATAAATTTTTATTAAGATTTTTATATATAAATTATTATTTGCATACTTTTATTTTGCAAATTATATATATATAAATTTTAAATATAAATTAAATAATTGACTTGTCTAAATTTTATATATAAAATTTTAATAAATTTTATTTTTTTAACTTATTTACTAAAAAAATTAGTAGTTTAATTTTGAATCTAAGTTTATTAATTTTTGAATATTAAAATATTGATCTTATAAAATTTTAAAAATAGTTTATAAAAAATATTAAAAAATATTATAATATAAAGTTAATTAAGACTTCTAGAATTGATAGCATAGCAGTTATGCTCTGAGATCACAAATTGCAAGGTTGCCAGTTTGAATTCTAGTGACAGCAATTGTAGAGATGTATTTTCAAAATAAGAAACTGCAACACTGCAGAACTGGAGACCTGAAAAATCCATAGAACAGACTTATTTCTAAAAATAGTAAGTGACCTGCAGTTGAGAAGTTACATAGTGATAAACACAAGTTAAAGCCTAATTTGAAATAACTGAAGTTATAAGATGTAATGTGAAACTGAAAGTCTGACAATAAGAAATATTATATGAACTTATAGTAACAGCTGATTCTTGATAGAGCCTAGTGAAACCTTCTGATACTAGCAAGGATCAGTATGACAGTCACTTCTAGAAAGTTTAAAAGTACAAACTATGAAAAATCAAGGTCCAGTATCTGAAAGTATATTAAGAATATTAGTTTGAAAAATGTGATGAACACATTGAAAGATTTTAGCAAAACTAGTTAAAGAGAAAAATAAAAAAAAAGTTAATTAATTTTTAATAATTTTATTTTTATTTTTTAATATTAAGATAAGGTCTTAAATATATCTTTATAGATTTGGATTTTATAACTTAGTGAATAGGCTTTTAACTCTCTATAAACAAGGTTAATAATTCAAGTTAAACTAAAGATAATTTTGTTTTTATAACCTATTAGAGTCATTAATTAAATATAAAACTTTATAAAAAAATTTAAATACAAGTACAAATTTGGATAAAAAAATTTCTATAAAGAGATCTAATTATAAAGTACATATACTATGCATAACAGTAATGTTATAAAAGATTACAGTTATAAAAAGATTATATATATAAGTTCTTAAAACTAGAATAGCATCAACATTCCTATATTTTTTAATATAGTTAGTACTGATATTTTTGTATTTAATTTATAGAATATTTATTTGAAAAAATAATTAATAAATTGTATAAATAAGTTCTAATTAGAATTCAAAAAGATAATTTAATAAAAAGAGTAATCTGAAATAATCAATACTAAAATCATAAGAAAAACAATAAACAAAAGAATTATCTATAATAAAAGCTTAGTTTAATTAAAATTAAAAGTAAAAAGAAAACCTTAAAGTCTGATATAT